ATTCTTGTCATCATAAAATTTTAGATCTTAATAAAATAGGGTTAGAGGAGAATGGAGAATGATTCGACTCCTTCTCTTACCTCTTCTCTTCGCCATCTTCTTCTCTTATACAGTTATTCGGACCTGTTTTATTCTGCTAATCACTAAGTTTAAACTTGATATTAGAGGACTGATTTACATTTTTCACAAACTCTGCAACTGATTCTTTCCCACTAGTTTCCTCTTTCTCTAAGGTTGCACACTCCCTACTCATAGGGAACAACTCGTTCATACTCTTACCTCCTTCACCAGCCCTTTTTGTCCTCTCTAAGCTCCCTTTCTATAATTCCTTCCTCTTCACTTCACCCAAAAAGCTCTCAATGATTTCCTAAATTATTGTCTCTCTGCCATTTTTCTCACCCACTTCCTCCCCTTGTAGACTCACTGTGGCTTTCAAACCATGGGTTTCCGACTCTTGGTGGAGAGGAGAGTCTGGAACAAGGGACATAGAGCACTCATCAGTAACAAAAACTGAATTAATAGAGTTGAAGGATTTACCTGAGGCTGGGATGTGAGGAGAAAGCATAGGAGATAAAGTGGTTGTCACTTTCTTTTTTGAGAAATTGGAGCACTCTGTCTCCTCGAATTGGGGGAAAAATTTCCTTGTCACTGTATCAACACAAAGACCCCTTTCTGTACCCAAGTATGTACCTCTCTGTGAAGTACCCTTGTTCAGCTCTGAAACAACCCGATCTACCTTCTTTTTGGCCTCTTGCAAAGCACTAGAACCTGGGAGGGGCTCAGCCGAGAATGGGTTAAGACCTCCTCTGTTGCATACTAAGTTTCAATCACCTGCTTCTCCCCCTCCTCCTTTTCCTCTCCCACCGTGTCCCCTATGAACAAATGATCTAGGTTGAAAGCATCCCTGTTCTGTTCTTCAAAACGATCTTCATCTTCTGCACTGCCTAGACTCTCACAAGCTTCCGAGCTTTCATCATAGTCAGAATCTGAACCACAGCTAATCCATCCTTGGTCAGCCTCTTCCTTCTCTTCTGTAATATAAGAGTTTTTTCATAGAAGCATGTACAAAATAGGTGACCATGAGTGCTCTATCACGTATGCATTGCCTTGATGACTATGCTGGAAATGTATTCTTACAAGCAAAGAACATACTCTTTGGAATCAAAGTTGTCAAAACATGGTATATTGATAACCTTTGAATTGGGAGGTTTTCTCAGAGTTGGCTTTTTCCTGGGATTTGTAATTTAGCTAAATCTATCTAAACTTCCTAAGCATCTCTTAGTGGTGATTGAAACTGGGTTAGTCCTAGTCCTGAAATATAATTTTGCTTTATAAATGGCAATAATGCATTCTTAAAATTCTCCATTCAACTCAAGTTATGCCAAGTACTTATCTTGCTTCATGAATTCTTTTTGGGCACACCACAATATGCAATCGTATATTCTGAAAATGCAACAATAAACTTAGATTCTTTTTATCTTTGAACTTAGTACCTATGGTTTTAATATTATGTGATCATGGTTTTCAAATAGGGGAAGAAAACAAAACTAGTGTAGTTAAGATGGGTAGGCAACACCTAGTTTTTTTTACCTGGCAAGGCAAGTTGCTGCCTATGTAACAAGTAGACATCACCCAGGTTACAAAAGTGAATGAGTAAATAGTCATATATAATACATTTATAATGTGTGTACATAATCATACACGAATATTATGGAATTACATGTTAACCATAAAATACTAAACCACGAATTGACTTAGTAAATGATGACATCACAACCGTTAGAAATATTGACAAGATTTTGTATGAATACCATGCATACTGAAGGATTAGGAGCTCTAAGTGGGCATAATTTGTTACCAAGATTTTTGTTTATACAACTTGCCTAGTTGAAAACCTAGTGGACACCTTGGAATAAAAATTAATTTACTAAACTCTCTTATTGAAGGTTGGTGACTTCTCCATTGATAATCGCGCTGGCATCAGTCGAACTTTGCACCGCATAAGTGCCATCAGGAATCGGAAGGGAAGGATTATAGGTTTAACTTGCCGTGTTGGTCGGGCAATATCAGGAAGTGCTGATTTGTTGCGAGACCTGGTTAAAGATGGGGCTTCTTTGTTGCTCATTGGGCCTCCAGGAGTAGGAAAGACTACAATAATCAGGTTGGTTATTTCTATGTATCAACAGTTTAGGAGCTATTACTACTTGGTGTAATGGTAAAATCTTGGGCTGGCAAGCATGCGGGTTCAAGTCTGAGTGCACAAAAAAAAAGGAAAAAAAAAATCCGAAGTTAAAGACCGTATCCAGTCTACCCCTCCCAAGACCCCAGATAGCTGGGACCAACACTGGATAATATCTTTTAACAAATTGGCATGTTTCAATGTTTTGAACTTGTGTAATTTTAAGATGCTTGGAACTACCTGAGAAAAAAAAAACTTTGTTCGATTTGGCTAAAGATTTTATTGTCAGATTGTTATGGACAACTTTTTAGGTTTTAAGCCTTCTTTTCCTTTGCTTTATTTTTTATTTTTTTGCCAACAAGATTTGTTTATGCAGTCTATCTTAGTATAATGCATGTAGATAAACAAACAAAAGTGAGTTCTAAGTTTAAAAGTTCCACTTTGTCTTAAAAATTTAGTGAAGGTTTTGCATTCTCTCAAGCTGATAAGTATGTATTTCTTAATTTCCTGTCGAATCATCCTTCTCGAGTTCTTCTGATAAGGCAAAAGTATTTCCCTTTTAATAGATTTTCTCCTCCCCACAAGTAGGCTATTATTATTTTATTTACCAAAGGTTAAAAAGATTTAATGGAGGTTTTGGTAAAAAAATTGAAAGAAAATAAAAAGAAAGGAAAAATGAAGTGATGGAGAAAGGAGGAAATTTGTTTCTCTGCTCTGTACCAGCCCTTGGATTTGAGTATTGGAGTTTTATCATCATGAAAGAGAAACCGTCTCACATCTTAAGAAGCAAACAGAATTGCACAGCAGTATCCTTTCTTTTATTAATTTTTTTAGTAAATCCAGCTCAAGGATTTTTTTTTTTGTTTTCAGATCAATACCATAAATTTCATTAATAATGAGCAAGATACAAGAGAACATCCAGGAGAGAGATAAACTCTCTTAACTCTCTCCAAGATGACAATAGAGGACAGCAATTACAGAACAGCCCAGAAAAGTTGATCCCTTCCCATCCCTTGCTTTGCCAAAACATTGGCAAAAGCATTTGCACTCCTTTTAACCCACTGCAACTTGATCTCTATATTGTGAGTTAAAAACTTAAACTTCCTCCTTTCATGAACAAATTTCCACCTGCCAGTTTCGTCTTTCTTCAGCCAGCTAACTACCAGCTTTGAATCCCCTTCTATGATCAACTTTCTTATATTCAACTCCTTTGCTTTTTGGATCCCTTCTATCACAGCCAGGATTTCTGTCCTCAAGGAGTCTCCCACACCTATTGGTCCTGAGTAAAGGGCAATAACTCCACCCTCCTCATTCCGAAAAACACCTCCAATACCTGAAGGGCCCGGATTCCCCTCACTGCTACCATCAAAATTCAGTTTAAAAAACCCACTAGGAGGTGGGACCCAAACTGGCCTAATAACAGCTCTTGGAAGAGAAGAATCAGTGACATCCTTCCACTTTCTAAGTCATTTGTGGGAATGTCATCAAAGCCAGCTCAAGGATCATGTATGTGAAAAACTAGCTTTCTCCTTAAGGTAAAAGCAACCTAATAAGAAAATACAAAAACAAATAGAATCTTGCATATGGAATTCTAAGAATTCTATTTGGTGGTTGTTAGTAGGTACAGATGACTGTTGAAATTCAACAATAGCCTTGACATCCAACTTTCACAGGGAGATAGCTCGTATGCTGGCAAATGACTACAAGAAACGTGTGATGATTGTTGATACATCTAATGAGATTGGTGGTGATGGAGACATACCTCATGCAGGAATTGGTAATGCCCGCAGGATGCAAGTCCCCAACTCTGATATGCAGCACAAGGTTGGCCATAGAACTACTCCTGATACTTGTCCTATTGTCCTTTTATGTCTTTATGTTGGATATTGAATTCCATACAAGAAAAAATTATAACATCTACATACTTTTAGCATTCAGCTTGACATAGAAAGCAAGGTATCATTAATCTTTACATTAAATGCTAGATGGTAGTAGCACTGAATACCTTTTCCATATCTGCATTGGAATAGGTTTCAGGTTTGGGTGTAGGCTTAGGTATCAGAGCTTCCTGGAAAATGAGGCTATACAACATATTATAACTGATATTCTAAATATTTTAATAGTCAATTATTTTCTTCTTTTCATTTTCAAGTACTTTCTAATATCATTATCTCGTCTTAAAAAATCTATTAAATATATTAGTCTTTTTTTTTTCTGGACAAAAATCTATTAACTGTACAAGTTAAACTGTAGTGTTGACATTGTGAATTAATACGGTTATGTCCTAAGGTGAGTTGAAGGATCTCAGTTTTATAGGTATTATATACCCATTGCAGGAAAGCATAAATAATATATACTGATAGCTTTGCTATTTTCTTAGTTCCAGTGCTGATGTATGTAATTATGCATGTCATGCCGTCTCTGTTCTAGATATAAGTAGTAGTCCTCTGGTGCTACAGTTTAGCAACCTGATATGTATTTCACTTGTCTTCTGGCCATAACTGGATAATACTTGGGAATACATTTGTATTTGGGTTTCAGTGCATCTCTGCAAGTAGCTGATAAGAGAATCCTGCTCAATAAGTATTTGCGATACTTTCTATCAATTGCTTACTTTAACACTTATTGTTATTTACCCCAACACTTCCATCTAAATTTTAAAGTTCTTTAGGTTACTGCCTAGGGTTCACCTGTGACCATGATTTGCATACTGTGCTCTAAGGTCCAGAATGAAGCATGGGTCATTTTGGATTTATTTGACACTATCATATTAGATTCATGATTCTTTGGTGTCCAGGTATTAGACCTATTGGAATTTGGAAGTAAGATTGCAAAATATGCTTTAACATTTGACACAAAAAGTCCAAGTTTTATTGCTTTGAGAGTCTAGGATACTAAAACTTAATGTTGTTCAATATTTTAGTTATTTTATTGACCTTTCTTTTTCTCAAATGTATTGCATTGGTTTTGATGGCTGTTACTTTCAATGGGTTCCAAGATTGATACCAGAAAAAAAAATCTCTGAAATGGGGTGGAGGTCCTTGAGGATAGTGACACAAGAGAGAACCCAAAAGGAAGCTCGTCATTCTAAGGAATTCACCAAAGAGATAAGATCAAGATAGTAAAAATCCTTCCGAGAAAAGCTAGAGGCTCAATTGTATTCAACCCAAAATTTTGAACTCCATTGTTCTGCAAACTACAGGGCTAATATAGACTTGCTTGGAACAACCACCTAAGCTGAGTAATTAATAAGGTAACTACTTACAATGAATCTCAACTAATTAGATTCATGAATTACTCTAGAAGACTTGGACTTAGAAACTAGAGAAAGCATAGAGAAAATCAAAAGACTTGGAATTATGCATTTTTTGGAATCCCGTAGACAGACTGCACCCTTGAGAAGAAATAGGCATAATTTCTCCTAGAGAACTCCAAATCCAACTTTGTTTGATCCATTCTAGGTATTTGTGACAATCAAATGGTATCACAGCCATGGGGATGCTCATGTCAAATACTCCACTCACTCCACCTTGACTGGAGGACCCACCAGACACGATAGAATCCTCAAAAGACATAATATAAGGTCTGATTTCACAGTTCAGTCAAAAAACATCCACTAGTACACAGACAGCACTAGATAACAATTCCTTTCGGTGCACACACAAAAAAGTCACTAGCACACTGCTGAATCAGCTTCTAATCCCAGAAAACCTGCTCCAATACTATGTTTTCTGGGTGAAAGATATCAGAGAAACAGAGGGAAGAGAGAAGAGAGAAGAGAGAAAGAAGAGTTTTTGGGGTCAAAATCTCAGGCTGGTAGCGCCAGCTTTAGTATTTATATTACGGCAACCCAACTTAATAATAGAAGAGAAGAAAAGTACAAATATGCCCCTGCAGCACAAAGAATAGAAAAAACACAGAATAAATAACATAAAAACTAGCTGATTTTAACAAAAACAGTGAATAATTGCTAGTTCTCAGTTTTGTGGAATGGTGGTGTAGCCGGCAACTTCAAATCCACAAGAGGGCTTCGACAAGGAGATCCTTTGTCACCCTATTTGTTTATCCTAGCAGAAGAAGTTCTGAGTAGAAACCTTGCTAAGTTAAGTGCTGAACAGCTGGAGGGAGTATTTGTTACTCATAGAGGATGTCCAATTATTACTCATAGCCTCTATGCGGATGACACCATTATTTTTACTCGGGGAACAAGGAGGGTATTGGACAAGGTTTTGGAGGTGATAAAAAGATATGAAGGTTGTTCTGGAGAAATGGTGAATAAAGGAAAAAATTGCTTTTTCACCTCGGCGAGAACTACTCGTAGTAGGATCCAGATAATTAGCAATGTAATTGGATTCAGTCATAAGAAGCTTCCCTTCACTTACCTTGGAGTTCCTGTGGCTAAAGGAAGGCTGAAAATGACAGATTTTGTTGACATGCTATCGAAAATTGCTTCTAAAGTTGCCGGGTGGAAAGGTAGAATGTTGTCGGCTGGTGGAAAACTTGTTCTCCTTCATCATGTCCTTAATAGTATACCTATTCATGTAATGACATCCATAGCAACTCCTAAGGGGGTAATTTGTAGAATTGAACACATGTTGATAAACTTTTTGTCGGCCAATACTGATTTGGAGAAAAAACACAGTTGGGTGTCTTGGAACAAGGTAACAGGGCCGTTTAAGGAGGGTGGTTACAAATTAAAAAAATTCAGGATGTCCATCAAGCACTTCGTCTGAAGGCTCTGTGGAAGGTCCTATTTCATGACTCAATCTGGTTGGATTTTTTAAACCAAGGTGTTGCGGAATAATCATTTCTATATAGCATAATGTCCATGTTTTACTTCTCAAACTTGGAAATTGAATGTGGAATTGAGGCATGACTTGGTGACTCTTTCCAGGTGGATGGTGGGGAGAGGAAATATCATTTTTTGGTTTAATCATCAAAAAAAGAAAAAGAAAAAAAAATCAAATTTGGCTTGATAAATGGCTGGGTTCAGGACCTTTGATTGATTGGGTCACGCATGTTGAAGGTATTAATATTCAACTACAGGTTCGTGATGTGTTGGATGTTTGAGGGGACTTGGAAGTTGGAACCTTGATCATATTCGGAGTTTTCTTGGTGATAATGTTATCAATATGATTCAGAACTCAGAGGTCAGGTTATCCAATCGTCCAGACAAATTAATGTGGATGGTGGAATCCAATGGTGAATTTTCTCTTAAGTCGGCTTGGTGCTTTTATAAATCCCCTCACTATGAGGTTCATTGGTACAAGGCGGTCTGGAATAAAGCAGTTCCAACCAAAACAAGCTTCCTACTTTGGAAGGTTATGGTTGGCAATGTTGATGTTGGTGCAGACATAAGAGATCTTGGAACCTCTAGTCTCAAAATGTTATTGTTGCCAACGGCCAGCAATAGAAGACATCAATCATATTTTTGTGCATGGCTGCCTTGCTGGAAAGGTGTGGACACATTTCAGCAGACTTTTGGGGCTGCCTTATAGAGGAGTTGAAAATGCAAGGGAGCTTCTTTCGTGTTGGGTTTTGGCGGCAATCAGGTCTAATAATCAATGGTCCTTCCTTGTGGGCCTGGTGCCTTGCTTTGCAGTATGGGAAATTTGGAAGGAAAGGAATCGACGTAAAATGGAGAACAAGTTTCAGTGCTCTCAAATTTGGATATTTTAATGTGTTATTGCTCTCTTGTACAGATTTGAGGGGTAAGGTATTTATGTCTTCCCTCCTAGGCTCCTATTTGGATTTTAATAAACCCCTTTTTCTTTTTATTTTTTTAAAGAGGGTTACTGGGGAAGTTTTTAGTGTTACTTGTTCTCTCTCTTTTGAGATCTTCTTGAATACAAGGATCTTTTATTTGTTTTTGTTATCATCATTGTTAATGTGTATTTATCTATGTATATGCATGTGTGTATAAACACAACACATACATATGTTAAATCTATCCTAGTCAATAGCAAATTTAGATCCATCAGTTAAGTCTAAGTGTCATTTTATTTCTTCACATTTCTAGGTATTGATAGAAGCAGTAGAAAACCATATGCCTCAAGTAATTGTTATTGATGAAATTGGCACAAAACTTGAAGCTATGGCTGCTAGCACAATAGCGCAGCGGGGAATACAGCTAGTTGCCACAGCTCATGGAGTAACAATCGAGAATCTGATAATAAATCCTTCTTTAGAGATGCTTGTTGGGGGTATACAGGTAGGTGCACCTATTCATTTTAATTCATTTATCCTTTTAATTGCATTTTGAACATGCTAGAAACTACTGACGTAAACCTGTTACAACATTTAATTAATAATATGGACTGCAATTGCAATTTCTACCTTGAACGTGAATCTTCTATCTGCAAAAATTATGGATGGTAGCTTGCTAAGTTGGTAAAATTGATGAGGGCTGGTATCTGATATCATAGACATACAATCAAAACCCATCCTTATGGACCAGCACATTAGCCTACTAACCCTCCAGACTTCCAGAGTAATGAAGTCAACTAATAGACTGGTTAAAACTGGATATAGACATGTATGATTCTGTTAGCAATGTTTTTTCCTTCTTTTTCTTTTTTTTTTTGCCCTTTTGTATGAGGTGTGTGAGGAATATGAGGCGCATGAGGTGTACACCTCAGAGGTATCAGCGTCTCTGGCATATATGCCTCAGGGTGTTTTAAGGGCGTCTTGCCGTACACCTCCCATGCCTTTAAAAACTCTGGCTGTTAGTAATACCAATTCAAGCAACTAGATTTTATATTTCATATACAACATTTTGCATTTCACATATGGATAAATATGAATTATTACATACTTGATTTAAGTGTCAAAATAATTATAGTTAATTCAAGTTTCAATGGATATGGCATTAAACAGAATGGGATGGTGAAACAGGATTCATGTAGCTGAACCCATATAGTTGGGATGAGGCTTGGATGATGATGATGATGTTGGGTCTCAAAGAATTGTTGTGGTTGTCGTTATATTTGTTTTTTGTCTTTTTTGTTGTTAAATATATACTAAAAAAGATAATATGCAAAGTGGTTATTGTGAGGACCTTGGTGTCCAGAACCATTAATATAGGGGCATAATTTCCACATGATCTGCAATTCAGATGAGTCAGAAGTAGACTTGGTCCTAAATCTCGTATAATGAATATTTGATTTGTGGATGATGAAAAAGAAATGGTCCTTCTACGCAGTTCAAGAAATTGCTTCATTTAAAAGAATCCCACAATAAATTGAATTAGCCAAGTCTATGGTCTATTTACTTAAATATTTTAAAACACGGAGGTGTGAAGCAACGCGTTCCACTACTTGGAGGTGTGAGGATGGTTCAAACTGAAAGGAGGGAGAAATCCATCGTATGGACGCCAAGAAAACAGCGGAATAGGTGGGCGAATTTCAAAAATTTTTCTCCCTTCAATCAATTGGGAATCGTATTCCCTTATTTTAGAATCAATTATTCAAGGACCTGCTCGAACCAAACCAAACCAGATCTGAACCAAAGATCAAGGGAAGGGTTATACCTGATACGGAGAATCAAGATCTCCCAACGTCGGTGTTCATGCCCAAAGAGAGGTCCAAGATCCGCTCCCGCTGAAGATGACACAGTGACGGTGGAGCAGAACCAACAGTGTGCGTCCTACGCACCGAACTCTTCGCAAGAATCCGATGGAAGCTTAGAGCACCGAACCAAACCAGTCTTTCAGCAATGACTGATGTCAAGAACTAGCTTCTTGATCGTCCCTTCAGAGGAGTTCGAACCAAGCAGTAAGGTGGTGGCGGCTGGAGGAGTTCCTACGGCTGAAAGTGGTGTGGATGCAGATTTTCAGCTTAGGAAGATGAGATCCTATCTCAAACTTGCAGGGTAATTCATTGCCAAAACCTAGGTCGAATTCTTGTAATTCAAGATTAGGGTTTCCTCCTTTCTTAGTGATTAAGAAACCTCCTAATCCTATTAGGAGTTATCCCAATCCAAATCAAGAGGTTACCGGATTCAAATCACATTTGAATTTGGTCTCCAAGAGTGGAAAGGGTTAGAACCCTAATCCTTTAGCTAACCCTAATCCCAGATATGCCCCCTTAAGTGGGTGATCATATCAGCCCAGGTCGAAATGGGCTTTAGGCCCAATAAGTAATCAGTGCTCAATAAGTTTCCAAACTGCTGCCCAGTTGGGCTTCTTTGTATGGCGTGTGACCCAAGCATTGATCTACACATCAGCCACATGGGTTCGGCCAGCCTTTGTTACAAGGCCTAGCCGAATTCACTGGAAAGCCCAGTGAACCCCTTGAGCCCATCACATGGACTCGATGGGCCCAACACTTACACTAAGTGGTCCCTAGGCCAAGCCATCTTATAAAAACCCAGGGACTATGGGCAGATGCAAGATTAGCCCATCAGGTGTAACCCTAAATGGCCTTACACTTAACCTCTCAGCCCATAATGATCAAACACTGTCCGACAAGAGAGGACCTCTCCCTCGGCTGCAAGGAACAGTGTTGCACTCTCTGCTCACATGGATCCCGGGAATTAAAACCATTTGCGAACATT